CAGAGCATTGCACCTTCCATACACTGGTCATGATTGTGATGCTCTCCAGGTTCCAATTAAACAATTGAAACACAATAAATGTGTTTTATGGCTCGCATTCATATTTTAAAAGGTGGCCTGTGCCTTTAAATGTCATATGCCCAGTCCTCTCTGGTTGGACTTGTGTGTGACGGAAGATGCGGATGGTTCCAGGTTGTTTATTATCCTCCGCTTTGTTTACTATTGTTGGTGTGCGGTGCGCACTGATGGACTTGTAAATGTCCTCTGTATAGGAATGTTAATGTCACACTGGGCTCAGACTGACACTTCTCCTTTTGGGAGCCTATTCTTTCCTGCGGTCACATTCCTTCATCACTGGCCGTTGTCTTTGTCCACCCCGAGTATTCACCTGTAAATGAATGAGGGCAACACCTTAAGCAGACACTGTGAGCTGAGATTTAAATGCTAATATGGTGAAGTTTAGGAGACCTGACATGATTGGGCCTATACAGAAACTGAACCATTGTCTGTATTGTATGCAGCGTTACCTGGGGGGGGTTACATTTTACTTTCCTGTTTAGGTTAAAGCGGATCGTTACCCCCCTTTCACTAAAAATCACTTCAGCTGATATGAAATCATCTTGCATTCATTAATCCAACACAAAAATTTATTTTACATTGTGTTTATTGTTTTTGCTCTTCCTGGTCCTCTTGGGCATTTGGTTACAATCAGCAGATCATTGCTGGGAAATCTCATCTGTAATCTAACCAGATCTCAGGGAAAGGCATTTTCCTCCCCTGAGATCATGTGCATGGTCGCATGTTCTAGTCACACGTGCCAGAGTTCCAGGAAGTAAAGGGAGATATTTTAATCTGCCCTTAGTTAACATGGATGGTGTGAGAAGAATAGACAAACAAGGAATGCAAAGAATAAAAAGCCGGCAATGATCTAGAAGTATCTGTCTGTAGATTGTCATTACTAAAGATGTGTTTGATGTTATTTTAAAGATCTGGAGAAAGGTTCCGCTTTAAAGTGACGCTAACCTCGGGAGTTAAATCTTAAAACTACATTCAGGTACCTTAACTATTAACAGTGAGGGAAATTTATCAAAACTGGAGCAGCTGTGCATGGCGACCAATCAGCATCCACCTTTTCATTTTCAAGCCGTAGCTGAAAAGAGAAGCTGACTGGGTGTCATAGGATTCTTTTTCTCCAGTTTTGATTCTCTTCATTGCATCTTATTTGTAGGGTTGCAACCAACTAACCGATAATGAGAATAGTTGGTTGAGTCCCCGAGCCCTCTCCTCTATGCTGGGAGGAGGGCACAGCAAACAGTGAAAAAAAAAATCCAAATTTTTTTAAAGTTCTCAGCCCAACAGACACGCATACAAACATGTGTCCAGTGCGCATATGTGAAACTGCTACTGTGCCCATTACGCCGCCTAAGTTACATATTACTTTGAACGTTAGCTTGCGTACAGTAATTTTAGGGCCGTTGGTCACTAAACTGATGAGTGGTAACAGATTTTAAAGCGTCGCCTATTGTCAATTTTGGGTATAGTAGTTTTTTGTGATTTCCCGGTGTGCTCGCAATACTAAGGCTTGACATGTTTGTTGTCTTCAACCGACTTGACCACGTCTTTAATAGTTCACCAAAAAATTGGGGTGATAATAAATGTTTCAGGGGGCTTTTTTTAATTTTCAGTAATTTTCTTTTTTTTATATAATAACCCCCCCCCCCCCCCCCGGTGTTAAAAAACAACCACAAAAAACCCCCTCCCCCCATGGTGATTAAATACCACCAGAAGAAAGCTCTGTCTGTCCCCAAAAAAATGGTGTAAAATTCATTTCAGTACAGCGTTGCATGACGGAATAAATTTCAAATTACCGCAGTGCTGAATACTGAAGAATGGCCTGGACAGGAAGGGGGTGTAACACCGCGGTCAGCAGGGGGTTAAGGATGGTATTTATTTTTTTATTTGATGAATGGAAAAAATAATCGCCCAACTTATCCATTTTATGGAAGTAATCCTTAGTTGCAGCCCAAGTTATTTGTGTATCACTCGGCTGCCGATCCTCCAATCATCTCTGAATTGGTGCCGACACTGTCCTTCTGGAGGGTGGCTATGTCTGTTCTCCATGGTCCCTGTTTGTTGTAGAGTAGTCACCGCTCCAAGCTCACTCCCGGAATGGACTACAATCTCATGCTTAGTTTACGGATTTGTATTGAGATTGTAGTCCATCCCAGGAATGAGCTTGGAGCGGAGACTACTCTACAACACACAAAGGGACCATGGGGGAACAAAAAATGGTCCCTGTGTGTGTTGTAGAGTTGGGAGTTTCCCGGAGTTCAGGTTTAAATTCATATCGGAGGATGACCTTGAGAGGTCGAGGTGAGCGCACTGCTGAGGCCTGACAGTTACTCGACTGCCCATTGCCTAACAAAGAAAAGGGAACGATGAGGGGCTTTAAATAGGACTCTGAGCTCCATTTGAGCTTTGATGGCAACGGACATATTTTTTTTTTCAACATTTAAAAACAAAAACCCGGTCTGTATTAAAAACATAATGGAAGTAACAAGACCCTCATGGGCCCTGTACATGACACCATTGGGATTTGCAGTAAATGACTGCTGTCAGAAAATCCTGCTGTACTGATGGGATTGAATTATGATCTTTAACTTCCTCGACGCGCTTCTCCTCTTCCTCAGGTGGTAGATTTCAGAGACTTTCCACTAGGGATGCGCAGATACCGATACTAGTATTCTTTCCCTAGCCCGATACTTCAGGTATCAGGAAGCCGGGTAGCGAGTCATTACATGCTGCCTGGCTTCCTGATTGGCTGGGAAGCCGGCTCCATGCTCTTGTCACTTGTGACGAGCGAGCATGGAGCCGGCTTCCCGGCAAATCAGGAAGCTGGGCAGCGTGTAACGACGCGCTACCCAGCTTCCGACCAATCAGAAAGCCAGGCGCCGTGTAATGACGCGGCGCCCGGCTTTCTGATTGATCGGAAGCCTGCTTCATGCTCCCTCGTCACCTCATGACGAAGGAGCCGGAGAATCGGGAAGCTGGGCGCCGCGTCATTACATGGTGCCCGGCTTCCTGATTGGCCAGGAGGCCATCTCCATGCTTTCTCATCACATAGTGACGATTGGCCGACTCCATGCTCCTTCATCATGAGGTGGCAAGTACAGTAATACCTTGGTTTACAAGTAACTTGGTTTGAGAGTGTTTTGCAAGACAAGCAAACATTTCTGAAAAATTTTGCTTTGATATACAAGCAAATGTCTTGCAATAAGAGCAAAATTTTGTAGAAAAGCACCACCAGAATAAGGCTGTAGCAGTGCGAGCGATGAGTCTAACGACAATGCAATGTCACATTGGATAGATTCCTTGTTAAGGTTTCACAAAATGAAAGATTCCATTGAGTCGAGAGATAGCAGTGATTCCGTTACTGATAGTGAAAGTCGTACTACTCAATAATCCTCCTCTCTTGTCCCTCTCACACCGGCCACAAAAGGTACCGGAAATTGGTTAATTTTTCTTTATATTTTATACGTTATTATATTACAGTACAGTATTGTAATCATTTTATATGAATATTTTTGGGATGTGGAACGAATCATCGGAATTTCCATTATTTCCTATGGGGAAATTCGCTTTGATATACAAGCGCTTTGGATTACAAGCATGCTTCCGGAACGAATTATGCTCGTAAACCAAGGTATCACTGTACTCGCCCAAATACTCAACATTGGCATCCCTAGTTTCAAGCCAAATCATGTTGTGCCACCAAAGTAAAACATCAAACATCCCAATACTGCAAACCATCAAACCCCCAGCTTCCCCTAGGTGGGGTAAATAAGGAGACCCCCGGCCGAACAATAGGAGCTCACCTCTAGTTAAGGGATCTATTGCCAGGGCACCTCAAACCGTGTGCCTTTTAGACTGCATGTGAAATCGCTTGTTCTCCAAAGCCAAGACTCCTTCCTTCTTTAGGGGGGCTACTTTTGTTCAGGGGGGGGTGTTATCAAAACTGGAGCAGTTGCCATGGCAACCAATCAGCATCTCCGGTTTGTTCAGACAAGATTTGAGAATGAGACAGAGGAGCTGATTGTGCAAATCTGCTCCAGATTTTGCCTGTTCCAATTTTGATAAATTCTGTTCATTGCTGTTAATAGTTAAAGGAGATCTATGAGGTCAGTGATTTCCTCTCATCCTCAGTGTGAGCCGACGTGTGACAATAAAACTCATACGCCGGCTCAATAGATCGGGAAGTGAGCGAACACATACTGTCGCTCGCTCACTTCCCGATTGTCTACCTGCAGAAAGTGGTAACTGTCAGTCATCACTCAGGGATTCCCCCCTCTCCGATCCTCTGAGCCGCTGAGTGGAGGAATGGACAGGGAGGGGCGGACACAGCTGGCTCTGCATCTAGATAGGCAGAACCCGCTGTCACTCACACAGCTGTATTGTCGCGATCTGTCCTGGCTGCACCGGCCTGCTATATACTGAGCTTTGGGTCACGGGAGGAGGTTAATATATGTCCTCCCGTGACCCGAAAGAACTATGGGGTAAAAAGGTTACCCCCACACAGTTCTCTTTTAAGGGACTTGAATGCATTTTTTATGTTGAACTCCTGAGTGTAGTGTCACTATAAACTGAGCTGCCGATCCCATTTCCGATGTGCAGATGATGACCTCAGGGAACATGTACAAGTGAACAAAGCCAATTACCAGACGAACGGCAGTGAGAGTGTCGCCAGAAAGGACTTTGAGTGAATGTTGTCACAGCTCTGCATTTCCTGAATATATATACTCCAGTTCTATCATGCAAACATTGGTTTCAGTGTATGGCAGAAGGTGGAAGGGCTCCGAGGTGCTGATTACGGCATGGTGGCGGTGTGGATAATCTGAAAGGAATGCATGAGATACCTCGGATTTAGTTCGGCATTGTGAGCTTCTATAAAAAGATCTGTCAGGCATTTTGAATGCATTTTCTGGGGAGTTGAATAGAAAAGAATGACTAAAACAGAATGTGGCGTCACAGTTGTCCTTGTGCTGGTGATCGCTGGAGGCATCATACGCGCGCCGTTCTCTATTGTACTCGCAGAGTGTGAGCAAAGAGCATGCTACTCGCAGGTCACTTCCTGCCGCTCGGCTCCTCTTCCTGATCTGATTCATCCTTCACATTGGTGTCTGTGATAGCGTCTCCCGCCTGATTCTTGGTGGGCGTTTAGAGCCGGTTATATGACAGTCATTATTATGATTAAGCGGCCTTTGTCTGCTCGTGGTGATGCTTCACTTCTACAGACACTGGTTGTAGCACAAGTCTCATCTACAGCTCGTATTCTGCGTAGGGAAAAATCATTTTATATGTTCTGGAAGATCAGCCTTTGTCATCATTTCACCCCGGAGGAGCCCTTGCTTCCTATGTTTAAAGCTCAGGGAACTCCTAAAATACGTTGGCGTGATCCACGATTTGTAGATATTGTAACCCCAGAGAATGAAATATAAAATGAAGACTTTTAATGTGAAACATGTGCTTGTCCCTTCCTGCTTTGATACGGCGCTGCAGGAACGGTAGAGTTGCATTGACTCCCAGTGGCAAGAGTAAAATTGTGTTGGCGCCCGATGGCAGGGGCAGAGTTGCCTTGGCGCCCGGCAGCAAGAATAAAATTGTGTTGATGCCTGGCGGCAGGGGCAGAGTTGCTTTGGCACCCGGCGGCAAGAGTAAAATTATGTTGCCGCTGGGCGCCAAGGCAACTCTGTCCTGCCGCCAGGCATCAAGAGTAAAATTCAGTTGATGCCCGGTGGCAGGGGCAGAGTTGCCTTGGTGCCTGGTGGCAGGCACATATTTGAGAGAGCAGCCGCACTGCTGCCTCTCCCTAGTGAATTCAGGTGGCACAACACTTAAAGGAGAACTATGGGGTTATGTCTTTTCACCATAGTTCTCCTAAGGGTAATGGGAGGACACAAACTAGCGTCCTCCCGTCACCCAAAGCTCAGTATGCCGCGAGCTACAGTTCGTGGTATACTGCGACGCCGCAGGTGAAACGGATCCCGGCAATTTATGTCTGGATCCGCCCAGCTGTGTGAGTGACAGCTGGCTCTGCCTATCTAGAGGCAGAGCCAGCCGTACCCTCCCCCGTCCTTTCCGCCAGTCAGCGCTGGCGGAGCGTGGAGGGGGGAATCCAGTCCCTCCCCTGTCACGGCTGTCTGCAGTGACAGGATCGAGAAGCGAGCGAACGCCGGTATGTGTTCCCTCACTTCCCGATCTACTGAGCCTCATAGTTCTCCTTTTAACTCTGTCCATGTCTGATTTTGTTTAGGTAAGGCATGCACCTTAACGAACGTTAACATGGCGCATTCACATTGTACTGCGTGTTACCTTGACATGCCAATCTAAACGGGCCTAAAAGCTCTGTATGTGGATAGGAATATACCACAACAGGGGCCTGCAGCAGGAACCTAGGCTTCTGTGGAACCCCACTCTACAAACCCTCTTCTAGATGGATGCAGGAACAAGGGCCACAGATAACTGATAGGACAGAAGCAAGACACAGGTTCCTCAACTGTCAGACATTTTTCCTTCTCATCTCAGATCAAATTGCAGCTGACATTCCAGGAGCTACAGTATGTTGTCTGCATAAAATATAAAGGCTGGGAAATGACACCCCAAGATATTTGTGTGATCAGAGACTTCTCTTCTGTGAGATTTGGCTGCTGAACTCCCGATGTAGATATTACTTTGTACAACCCTGATGCAGTTGGATGCTATATATGCCCTTACTGGGTAGATCAGGGGCGGGCAACTCCGGCCCATCAGCTGTGCTTTAACTGCAAAACCCAACATGCCTCTGGTAGTCATGTCTGCAACTGTCAGTCTGGTAGTACTTCGTGGGACTTGTAGTTCCACAACAGCTGGCGAGCCGGAGTTGCCCACCCCTGGGGTAGATGCTGAGGGTTTGGTTACTGAATCTACGGCTTAGTGAAAAATGTGTTATCTTTGCAATGGTTTTTAGATGTCTAATGTAATCAGTTTGATGTATGTGTGATATATATCAATCTATCGGGTGCCCATAATCCCTTATTACATATGCAGCCTCTGCTTCCTGATTTGCAGCGGTTGTGGTTTACTGCTTCTTACATTCAGTCTAAATTGGCAAACTCCTTGAAGACAATGCACTCCCTAAGTGGCAGACATGTTCTCTCAGCAAATGTTGGGCCCATTTCTTGTAGTACCCTGTCCTGCCTGTAGTTCCTAATCTCTACATTTACTTTAAAAATGGGATTTTGTAAACCCTATGTCAAAAATGACAATTAAAGATCACTGAAAATACACCGCACTTTCCCTTCTGATTTTTTTTTTTTTTTTCTTATTACCTATTGCATCAGAACTGTGCCGGGCGACACACACCAGCAGCTGGTGGTTGGAATGCAGCATAATGGTGGCCCGCAGAACGGCCATGGACTGGGTAACCATTTTGTTCAGACCTTGGCTCAATGAAGTTTACTCATTGGACCTTGAAATTGAATTCAGTACCCCTGGTCTAGCTTTTTGATGTTTTCACCCGAGTAAGACATGTTGGTAGACTAAGTTTGCATCTGTATGTGCTTGGAACCTGAGCTCCTCGATTTGAAGAAGACTGGCTCATCATGCTTCGCTATGCTGGTCCTGAAAGTTTGTGGCTTATTCATACAATATGTTCTTTCTCTTGCAGGGGCAGGAACATCGTAAAAGGACTTCAGCCACCGGTAAGTCAAAATGAATGACTGACTATGGTATGAACATTGCCAACGTAAAGGGAACCCGACCAGGCCTAAGAGGTGCAGGACCTTCTGCGGCCTGTAATGACTTCAATCACTGTGAAGCCCCTTTGGTCCTTGGCCAAGGCTGTCAACCGGCGGGAAGTTTGAACGTGAAAAAAAAAATCATACAGCCAAGGAGGTATAAAAACGATTGTAGAACGCGCGTTTCACTGAACTGAAAAAACGCGCTTATAGTAACGCCCAGGTGTGAACCCAGCCTTACAGCTGGCAACTTTGTTTGAAGGAATAGGTCGGAAATTCATTGAGCGAACAGCCAATAAGCTGCTTTCTCTGTTTAGGTATTCTGCCGGCGGTCACTGTCACAATACAGACAGCGGGATATTTTTCTATCAATGCTAATAAGCGTTGATCGAGGAACCTGTTCTTTCTTTTTCAGCCTGCGGGTTCAATGTTCTATTTTTTTTTCAATGTGCCAAAAGGTTAACACGAAAAAAAAAAACTTCAATTGCACTATAAAGAGAACCAGTCGCACTGTTAATCTGAATAATCCGGTCATCAATAATAATCTGCAGGCTTGCCTATAAAAAAATGTATGTTTGGTCCCCTTATTTAGGTTAAAGCCCAGGCGAGCCTTTTGACTTTATTAGTGTAATGCAGCCAGGGTGCGCACACAGTAATGTACGGTTTGCTGCAGCAATGGGTTGAAGCACGTTGAGGAGTCGGACCTCCGCTCAATACACAAGAGTGCAGCCGCCTGACGCGTCTCCCTGCGCACTGCTCTAATCAACAGCATTCGTGCTTCCTGATGTGTCGCGCATTAGTTCAATCTAGATCCTCTTTTATTGTTTCCTTACGTTATTGGTGATAGCTTAAAGTGACGTCTTTCCACCTTCTTGTCATTTCAGGTATTTGAGGGCGTGTATAATAATTCACGAATGCTGCATTTTTTAACTGCTGTGGTGGTGAGTATTCGGGTTTTATAACAGCTGACCTCACTGACGCTTTCATTTGTAATAATGATGGTTGATGACACCTTTCTGTTTATCACCGTCACGTCTTACTGACCGCTGAGCATCCTTTTGAAGTGGAACAGTTGGGGTTGTTTCCATCGAAATTTAGATCCAGACGGAAGTAAAGTGTGAAAAAATGAAGTCGGATAAGTAAAAGTTCAGCAGCCAACACCTATTGGTGTCTTTTTTTGGAATTTTTTTTTTTTTTTCTTTCATAATAGGTCCTGCCTAGGAACACCCACTCCTCCTCCATACTGATATCCACCTGTCAAGCAATCTTGGTATTTGCATAACTCCTCCCTGTAGCTAGCCCACTGCTTGCATCGGGGGCCTTGAGTGGAGTACTGAGGCAGGGTGATACGTTTAGGTTTTTTTGTTTTTTTTAGGAATCACCTTGCTGATCAGTCCTTATTTGCCTGCATTGCATATAGAATCACTGGGTCTAAAGCAAGGTATATAATGAAAACAAAGAGGTCATTAGTTTGTGAAGTGGGAGGAACCAGGGAAGGCTGACCTGAATCTGTTCTCTCTGGAGAAGAGGCGATTAAGGGGGGACATGATCACCATGTATAAATACATAAATGGTCCATATAGTGAGCTAGGTGCCAAATTATTCACGTTAAGGTCACTACAAAGGACAAGGGGCACTCTTTGCGTCTTAAGGAAAAGAGGTTTAACCTTTGCATACGGAAAGGATTCTTCACAGTTAGAGCTGTGAAAATGTTGAATAGACTCCCCCAGGAGCTGGTTCTAGCTAGCTTGGGTAATTGTTTAAAAAAACATCTGGATGTGTTCTTAAATGCCCAGAATATTACTGGATATCGAGTTATCGATCTATTAGGCATCAGAGATTGTTTTTCCGGGGAATATCCGATTGCCTTATGGGATCAGGAAGGAATTTTTCCCCTGTTGGAGCAAATTGAGCCGTGCTTTATAGGGGTTTTTTTTCTCCTTCCTCTGTATCAACAGCGGGTGATTTTTTTTCTTTCCCTCTCCGTATCTCTATAGGTTGAACTCGATGGACTTGTGTCTTTTTTCAACCTGATTAACTATGTAACTATGTATAAGCAGGTTACACTGTAGCTTTTAATCTTTTGGTGCCTGATATGACTGAGTATTGCACTCCTAAAAGATCTGCTGCTGCATTCAGAGGTCGTTTTACTGGATTCGGTGGATAGTTTGAAGTGCAGTTTATCTTTTCAGATTTATAAACATTGTGTTTTTTTTTTTTTTCTCTAAAGGGCTCCACATGTGACGTTAAGGTGAAAAATGGAACCACGTATCAAGGGGTCTTCAAAACCTTGAGCTCCAAGGTAAGCAGTGCCAGGGAATAGCGTCCGTATTGGCTGGCTGGCTGACCTCATAGGTTTAAGTATCTCTTCCTCTTCCCACAGTTTGAGCTGGCTGTTGATGCCGTACACAAGAAGACCAGCGAACAGGTCGTGGGACCAAAGCGAGAGGACATTGTGGACACCATGATATTCAAACACTCCGACGTGGTGCTCGTGCACTTCCACAGCGTGGATTTCAATTATGCTACAAAAGGTGGGCGGTCTGATGGCAATCTGTATTCATCCTCTGTTGGAATAGAACGCACATCATGCATACATACATGCATGCATACATACATACATACATACATACATATATACTATCGGGTATTCTGCCAGCTTTTCCTTTTATTCATCCTCTGCTAGTGCTTCTCTTTGACACACACCTCTCGTTTGCAGATAAGTTTACAGATTCTGCCATTGCCACGAATTCCAAGGTGAACGGTGAACACAAGGAGAAGGTTTTGATGCGCTGGGATGGAGGAGAGAGCGATGATTTTGACCTGGAGTCGGACATGGTGAGTGGGGTAAGTATTGGACGACAATAACTTTGTACTAGATGTATGTTCATGGCATGCAAAAGTGTGCACGTGTCTGCTGGAATCATTGTTTTCTGGGTAAAGGAAAGTCTTTGTGTAACCTAGCAATACTTTAAAGGTACACATTGCACTGCATTGACATGGGAATAGCTCCGATAGCGCAAAGCGATGTGTAAACTGTGGGCGCTATATCAATGCCTATAGTGTAATAGTCGGGGAGAGCAGATCACGTAGCGCCTCTTATTTGATCAGTTTTCTGACTTTTTCACATTCAGTTTCTTTTGCAGTCCAATGGATGGGATGCCAACGAGATGTTTAAGTTTAACGAAGACAACTATGGCGTGAAGACAACTTATGACAGCAGCCTGTCCTCCTACACGTAAGTGACTTCTACAAGGGCTTTTATGCAAAAAGTTGGATGGGTTGTGATGGCGTTCTATTTGTTTCAGGGTGCCTCTGGAAAAAGACAACACAGAAGAGTTCAGGCAGCGCGAGGCCAGGGCTACCATGCTAGCCCGAGAGATTGAATCCAGTCCACAGTACAGAGCGCGGATCGCCATAGAAAATGACGACGGCAGGACGGAGGAGGAGAAGCACAGCGGTGTCCAGCGTCCAACCTCTGACCGGGACAGTCCGAGCTTTGCATCACGGTGAGTGCACTTTGCTGTTGAGCTCTATAATGTACAGTACTGGTAAAAGGGAGTCTGGAGCTTCCTCTGCTGGCTGGAAGTGGTAAATATGAAATAAATGCTCGGTTCCGGAAGTATCTAAAGGTAGTTGAATGTATAATTAGTACACATAGTACTGAAATGTGTCTCTATGCCTGTCTTTTGTTCTCTCAGGGATGCAAAGTACGTTCCTCTGCCTCAGCGCGTGAGGGACGGATCTCGTGGAGGACTCCGAACAAACTCTACTAGAGGAGGAAGATCAGGGATGGGGCCCCTACCTTCTCGTGGTCCTCCGCAGCATTATCCCGAAACAAGTTCCAGTCCGGTGTCTGAGCAAAGAGGAATCAATGGAGGTAGTTGTTGAGTCTTCACCATAGTATGTGGGTTGTCATTGTTGATCTGAAAATACTAGTAGCCTGGCTGTTGTGCAATTTGTAGGTCAGGAAATTTTAAGTGAAACTCTCGTCAGTCAAAAAATGACATATGATGCATCCTGTCACCGGCATGAAGACGGATGGTTTTATTTTTCTGTGTTCCCCATGAATCATAGTATTTATTACCAGTCTGATCCTTCAAAGGCCAAGATGTCCAGAAAAGGTTTGTTAGTGACAGCCAAACAATGGGCAGCTTTTATTCATATGGTTTTAAATGTAACTGCATAAGCTGTTATGTGGAGTTGGACTTTTATATAAGATAAAATAATAAATTCAAGCCCATTAAAAATGACATGACTGCGCTGCAGTATGATTTCACTGCAGAATCAACACAGTTGTAACCCTGTTACAGGAAGTAAAAAAAACTTACTGGCAGGATCAAGAGGTAATAAAATGGTTACAGTGGGAACACCGGAAGACCGACTGTTTTCATGCATCATATACAATGTGTTGGGGTCTACCTATATAAAGCTACTATGACCTGCACAAAGTTAGACCTTGCAGGAGGCCAATCTTTTTCTCATACCATATAATAATATAATGATCTACCTATGTTTTGGCTTCTTTAGGGCCTTCAAGGATGTCTCCTAAAGCACAGCGCCCAATGAGGGGTAGTAAGACTATGTCCTCGCCATCCAGCCGTCCCATTGAAGTGTCCACTTCTCCTTCAGGTTAGTTTGCGGAACGGCTGACAAGTAGTTTTTGAATCCCATTTATCAGCAGGACTTGGAGATTGAACTCTTGTCTCCTCTCTCTCTCAGCTTCCTCCCGTGTTTACACACCCCTGTCTCCTAAATCAGTTTCTTCTGCCAGTTCAATGGACTCCTCTCAAGCTTCTACCCCAGATCCCCGCCCCGCAGTGGAAACCAGTGTGGCCAAACCCAGCTCTCCGAAGGCTGCCGCTCCCACCGCGATTGGGGAAGGTGAGAAGTCCTCCTGACCATCAGTCCGGCTAACCGTTTTGTAAATGAATAAAATTCTTTGGAGGTTATCGGCGTGTGAATGCACAAAGCGAGGAACGTTTTATCCCGAAAAACAAAAGTCGGTTTATCGTTTTAATAACCTGCAGTGTAGTATCGCTGTTCTGTGCTCAGCTCATATATAACAGAACTGGACAATGTGTGGATATTCTGTATTGCTTTTTACAGATACCCCATTTCCTCATACATAGCATGGATATAGGAGACTGCATGGGAAGTTGTGTTCTGGCTTAGACCAAATGGGGGACTTTTGTATTTTAACACTGAGCACCGATTTAAGGTTTATAATGATGGGGAAATTGTCTTAAGCACAGAATGTTTTAACTTGTAGGGTTAATAGTATTCCTGAATGATACAAGCACTTGCTGGCAGACGCCTGTTTTGCAGCATGTTGAATTCAGTATCCTGCCAGGGATTTAAAGAGGTCCAGTCATGATAGGGCCTGCACAGATATTGGAATCTGATGTCTGTCTTATAATTCTCAGGCTTCCTTTGGTAGAAATTATTTGTATTTGCTTTAATATTGAACTACTTGGAGAAGCCTTTGGGATCTGACCGTTGCTTTTGGTGAGGAGCTCTCGTCTCTAGAAAAAAAACTGGGCACCCTGCGGTACCCCTATATGTCCCTAGTTTGTAACCCAACTCTTTAATCCATCCCGGTCAATTAAACTAATGTCTTAACTGTTTTATCTACCTTCACCTCCTCCCAATATTTAATGTGTAACCAATGCCTTTATATTTAAACTCTACCTAACCCAACACTCGACTCTAAAATTTAAGCTAAGCCCCCCACTAATTCCTCACCATTACACTAATGGACTTAACCCCTTAAAGTGAAGCTAAACTCTGGAGTTAAATCTTAAAAATGCTTTCAGGTACCTTAACTATGAACAAAAATGTATAATTTGTGTATCACTCGACTAGAGCCTCCAATCATCTCTGAATTGGTACTGTCTTTCCTTCTGGAGGGGGGCTAGTTTTGTTCCCCATGGTCCCTGTGTGTGTTGTAAAGTAGTCACCGCTCCAAGCTCACTCCCGGGATGGAGTACAACCATGTTTAGTTTCCTGATTTGTATTGAGATTGCAATCACAGGAGCGAGCTTGCAGCGGTGACCACTTTACAACATGCACATGGACCATGTGGAACAAAAGTAGCCCCCCTCCAGAAGGAAGGACAGTGTCAGCACCAATTCAGAGATAATTGGAGGATCTAGTCGAGTGATACACAAATAAGATCCATTTTTGTTCATAGTTCGGTTACCCGAATGTTTTTTTAAAGTTTGTCACTTTATCTGCGCCCTAACACTAAAATACCCCTCGTTCTGTATACTCTTCTTGTTATGGTAGCAGCCATACATAATCCTCAAAATGGTGCTGACCGCTTGGCTCTGATAGATACACCCTGAACTAATGATCCATCCTGTGCGCATATCAATCATTATACAGAACCTTGTAACATTTCTAATTATGTTAAGTAGTTGGCTTTGCTATTTGATGCTGTTGGGCATCCTCAAGGGCTGGAGGACACTGTAGTATTAGTATAAGGTCAAGTAGTTGAAAGATCCAAGCGAGATCTTTTTACCTTTTATGACCATCAAGCTTGAGAATCAAACTGACAAGGTAAGCCTGTACAATTTGATCATTGAATTGAATGATTAATGCTTAAGGCTTATCATGAATGGTTCTCTTTAAAGTAGCATAAGATGTAGTTTTGCCATTACTCTGGTTTGATGTGGAATGTTTTCACTTTCTTTCAAAAGTCTTAACGAGCAGTTTATGAATAAATATTTTTTATATGCATGCTATATTGTGGTTGGCTGAGCTCTAGCTGTGTAATTTTGTTTTGTATACGGTCAATGCTTTTCCAGCACTTTACAGGTGACTTTGAGCCATTTTCATCAGTTTTTGCTCCCAGAACAGCCCCCAGTCTTCAGCCGTCCGCCTGTTACACATACATACTGTAGCACCAGGCTGTGTGGAAGTCAATGAAAACAAGCATAAAACCTTCTATAGACGGCCGCCTATTATAAGCTGGTCATAAACAGTTTTGATTTCTAACTGTGGGTGGCCCTGCTTACTCCCACATAGCTGGATGAAAGGCCTTTTAAAATATTGACTGAGCCCAGTGGAGTATTATTGGCCAATCACTGACCATCAGATGTAGTCACCGTTCAGAAGCGCCATGGTTATTTAGGCAGCAGAGGGTGCCACGGCTGCGGTCTACAATAGCTGGTAGTGGGGTTTCCTCCATCAATGCTGTTAATGTGGAAGGGAGAATCCATTGATTTGTCTCTCGTTCAGCCTGTGGTCTGATGAAAAGAAAACGAGCTATGTTTGGCAAACTTTAAACTCCTTTTGTAATTGTCAGGTGTGCAGAAGTACTTGCAAGCAACCCTCGGTTTTGGTGGTGGGACAGGTGGCAGGGATTATGTGCTGGCAGAGCCTCTCGGCAACTTTTGCGATGTGTCCCACCTATGGGAGGTTGGGCATCTTCTTGTATCTTGCAGGTGGAAGTCTAGCTTCAGATCAACTTGACGCTCTAGCGGTCAGCTCTGCAGGTCTCAAACCTCAGCGCTGCGGTCGCATCTCCTCTTGGCCAGTCATAAAGCAAGCACCCCCAGACTCCTTGTGACTCCTTGTGATTGACCAGAAGGAGATTGGACAGCAACGCTGAGGTCTGAGAGACCTGCAATGCTTCCAGCAAGAGCGAGAAAAAAAGTTCAGCAGGAGGTAGACTTCTACCTGCGTTTATACAAGATTTGGGGGGGAGGGGGGTGTTGTACAGCAAAGACCATGCTAAACTCTAGTAAGATCACTGTGCCTGGAGTTGGGCTTTAAAACAGTTCTAAGCCTCCTCCTCCAAAAATAAAATATTTCAGTTGAAATCGGGATTTAACGGACTCAAAGTATCTCCTTCTGAGGGTCTATATCTGTTTCTCAACCTTTTTTCATTCATGGCACCCTTTAGAATTATGTAAAGTCTCAAGGCACCTCAATTTAAAATGTAATGGATTTTAAGGGGGCAACACCATGCAAAAACAAAGTCGGGGTTCCCCCTTTACATCAAAGTCCCCTCCTGTCAGGAAGTCCCTTTACATCCGAGTCCCCCCCTTCACACTAGAATCCTGCCATCATATCGGACAACATGGTAGAGGGTGGGCCGGAAAATTTCCCAGCACCCCTGAGGAAGCCAGAAGGCAGTCTGGTTGAGAAAGGCTTGTCTACATAACCACCAGGTAGTTGGCATTTTAGGAATGAGGATTACCAATGGCAGCTTCCATATTTCCCTCATTACGGGTTCCTATGAGAACAGCCTTTTGTTGTGTTTGGAGGGATAATCCCTTAGAACAGCAGTGGTCAACTGAAATATGCATTGCATTAACGCATTGGTAAAAGTATCTCTTATCGCACGTTACTGCACGACATGATAAACTGCGTGTTGCTGTGCCTTTTTTTTTTTTTTAAATGTGTTCGGTACACTGCATTGTGTTTTTAAAATAGTGAAATTGGGCTCACTTATGCAGCAAACACAAGCGTCACCCAGAAGATCCAAGGCACAACCCTAGAATAATGGGGAAAGAGGGTTTCACCACACCTTGATGGGGGGGGTTGCTTCTGGTCAGTGGAGACTTGAACCAGACAGACCCCGGCCCCCCTCCCTCAACCCTGCAGCTCTGTAGCAACAGATCACATCTAATAGTGATATCCTGCTTGCTGCTTTCAGCCAGCAATAGATCATCTTCTGCAGGGAGAGGCTGCACAGAGCTGCCTCAGCCTCTATTGTATCAGGAAATGCCACGGTGTTGGCATTGTCCCTCATATTGTTTACACTTGCTGCCAATGGTGCTATGGCTTGCTCTGGAGTATCGATTGATTCAACTCTCAAGCTCGGTGCTGGACTGCGGCTGTCACTAAGAGCCAGCAATCCAGCCCACCGGAGCCGCTGTCACTCGGCATGAAGGCCACTGTGCTCCAGACCTTTTTATTAGAGGTCTGCAGCACAGCAGGCTACTGGGTGAGTGCTGGCGTGCCACCAAGGCTTTCTAATAAGCATTGCCAGTTTGTAGGCTCCTGCATTTAACATGGTAAACCTTGTAATAAAACATTTTAGGTTTTTATTTTTTTGCTATAATGTAGCTTTAATGATAGAATTTTTTTGAGCTTTTTTTTCTTCTCCCCACTAAAGTAGTTATTCCCATCAATAAGATTTTATGTATTTTCTTTTTTAAAGGTAAAGATGTTCAAGTTGCTGTTGTAAAAGAGCCAAGCCGGACATTGGAGCAGAGCGCACCTTCTGAGGTCAAGCCCCCTCCTAAAGGTTTGTCTCTAGGTTCTGTTCCTCTAGGAGTGTAGACATGACATTAGCATTGTCCTAGTCCCCTAGAAGTGTAGACATGGCATAAGTATTGTCCTAGTCCCCTAGAAGTGTAGACATGGCATAAGCATTGTCCTAGTCCCCTAGAAGTGTAGACATGGCATAAGCATTGTCCTAGTCCCCTAGAAGTGTAGACATGACATTAGCATTGTCCTAGTCCCCTAGAAGTGTAGACATGGCATAAGCATTGTCCTAGTCCCCTAGAAGTGTAGACATGGCATAAGCATTGTCCTAGTCCCCTAGAAGTTTAGACATGGCATAAGGATTGTCCTAGTCCCCTAGAAGTGTAGACATGACATTAGCATTGTCCTTTTTTAACATTTTCCTATAAAGCCTTTTTATATTCCTTTGCAGTGCTGCAGACGGAACAGAAGAGGAATCAGTTGGATGAACTTCGTAAATTTGGAGCTGAATTCCGGGTGAGTGATGTCATGTTTGTTACAGCGACAAAATGTACCCACTCTTCGTGAAGCTTTGTGTACTAGTCACTTGTCAGCCTACCAAGTTATTTAGATGGTTCGTTGGGGACTCAGCATGTCTTCTGGGGGTATAAGTAGCTATAGGAGATTGGCTGCTATAAAACTTTGTTCCTCGTTGTGCCTATTATGAGGGGTCAGTGGCTGCACGTCTGTCTAATACTGACATCGATGGACGGTTTAGTGAACTGATCGAATACCTTCCTTCCTTCTGTTTTAGCTCCAGCCTAGCGCCTGTCCCGACTCCAATCTAGAATCTTTCCCAGCAAAACAAAAAGAGCCCTTGGAAACAAAAATCACAAAACAAGAAGCGACTCCCAGTGACAGTACGGAGCCACAAGATTTGGGGCCGAAGGTTCCTGAGCCGGTGGAAGAGGTCAAAGAAGACAGAGTGTGCGAGATTAGCGAGCCCCGGGAGGAGGCAGGCAGTCCCGCAGGCAAAACGGAAGTAGAGGAGAAGGAAGAGCCAGTGGTGTACGAGTATGTGATGGCAGATCATTTGTTGCTGTGTCTATTGGCAGTCTAATTCTTAAATTGTGACTTGATTGTTCATTTTGTGTCCCCCTTTTTTGCTTTTATAGCCAAGTAAAGAAATCTACCTTAAATCCCAATGCAAAGGAGTTTAATCCTAAGTCCCTTCTGGCAGTCGTAAGTACTTTCTTTACAATGACAGGAGTTTGGTAGTCTCTCTGCTCATATTGGTATCCAAGCAGTTTCCTATTGGGGAAGGGGCCAACTGGTATATGTGATGCGCTTTAACTAGATGACAAATGTCCATATTGCCAGCAGACTAAATGTGTGATATTTTCTTGGACATTTAAAGGGCCAGTCAGCAGGAGATAGAGCTCAGATATAGGTTTTATAGTCATGTTACCTATACCTTTGTGGGCATGGTGTGAGAACTTTGCCATAGTTCCTGCCTTTTTGCCCTGCCTCTCCTACTGAATTCTTTATAAACTAAAAAAAACCCTAAAGTTTGGGATGCATTTAATATCTGCAATATTCAATTCTCCGATCTCACTAAACGGAATTTTTCATGGATTTTAATAGAACAAAGCGACGAGCACGCCCACGTCCCCTGGACCGCGGAACCATTCCGCCACCACTACTATCCCGATGCAGAGTGGTGTCTACAGCCCGTATCTCCCATACATCCATCAGATTCATATGAGCCCCGCTGTGCAGGTATTGATTTCTCTACAGATTCTGTAAACCCGGCTTGGATGACCATCGGCCCTCTATTGAGCAGGTTTTCACAACTCCTGAAACACGTTGGGTAGAGTTTGCTGTGCCCGCCCCTCTGAATTATTAAGATGTATGTACAATAGGTTTGATACTTGTGTGGCTTTTGTACCAATAAACAAAGATAGAGAGAGGTTAGAGGTCGGGGGAAATCTGTGTTCACACCTAACAATCCTGGACCTAACCCTTTGACACCTGTCCAAGAAACCTGGAGGCTTCCCTTGGTGAGCATACCTTCTGTGGTCTGCCCCTCAGGCTAACACTTTTCTGCATCTGCTCTGCAAGATTCTGACAGGTATACAGACCTCTGATCTCCCTTTCATAACCCTTTTCCTTTCAAAAGAGGAAGGAGGATGTGTTTGCTGACTTCTCCTTGCCTGTCAGGCTGGGATGAGGCGTTCTGACATCGCATATGTTCAGTTGAGGAGAGTGACCATATATTGTTGTTTTCACCTGCATATCTTGAATTTTTGGGGCAATAAATGTGATTCTTTGCTGTGCACCACCTGCCGCCCAACCTCAAAACTAGCGACTTCCCAGAAACCACTGCTGCGTGCAGGGAAAATATTTAATGACATTGTGTTGGATTAGCAGTGATGGTCTAAACTCCTATTTGGTCTTTCCCCAGGCTCCTCAGATGTACCAGTACCCCGTGTCCAGCTCTGTGCCTGGTCAGCAGGGCAAATACCGAACAAAAGGTAAGTTGACAACCTCTGCACATGACTCTGCGTCATCTTTCCATCTGTGATTAGATACGGGAACAGAGTGGTAACTGTATCTGATTTGAACCTCTCTCTGCCTCGTAGGCCCTACTACACGAGCCGAGCAGCCGAACTCCGCACCACCCATCATGCAGGCCGCAGCGGCTGCCGGCCCTCCCCTGGTTGCAGCGACACCTTACTCCTCGTACATCTCGTACAGCCCTCAACAGTTCCCAGGACAGCCAACAATGATGCAGCCCATGGCTCATTATGCATCGCAGGTGGGTATCGGGAGGGATTCTTTACAGGTAGAGGGTGTTGGTTTTTGTGAGAAGATGAACCTGATATGTAGAACACATGTGGCTGTTCCACAATCGCAGCACTGAATTTGCAGTTCATTTTTTCATTCGGAATTGTTTTCTTGACTTAGATGACCTTGTGGCTTTTTATTCTGCTTTCAGCCAATGTTTGCACAGATGCTTCAGGGCAACCCGCGCATGCTGCAATCAGGAAACCACCCCTCAGCCTTAGTCTCTTCCTCCAACCCTCAGTACCAGCCCACAGACCAGCCTACCCCCCAGACCCTTTATGGTAAGTCTCTTCTACCTGTGTAAGGTAATTGTAACAATGCTAACAGCTTAATAAAGCTATAAACAGCAAAGTGCAGTAACAATCGGAATCTGTCTTGTAGTGGTGTGACATCTGCAAAGTGGATTCTCATTGGCCGCTAGGCATTACTGCGCTTTGTCCCATGTACTGAGGACTTGGGTTTACCATTCTCCCCTTACACATTGCTAATGTTTTCCCTGTTCTTTTACTGCAGCAGTCCAGTCCTACTCCCATCATGCAGCTCAGCTACACCCACAGCCAGCCAGCACCCCTACCCAGAACCAGCAGCAGTCTCAGCATGCCAATCCCAGCCCCGTGCAGGTGAGTCTCCACTCTTTTCTCGAAACCTGGTTGATATGTGTAGTCTGTTAATGGCTTAAACAAACATAGGGGAGTTGTAATGCTCTTTATATACCCAGATGAAGAGTTATCCTGTGTATATGGCTTCACCTGCACATTATGACAGATCTGCCAAAGCGCTGCAACAGCTACGATGTCCCTCATCTCTGCTGCTGACATCTTCACCTGGTCTTATGATTTTGACATCTTCAGCCATTGAGTTTGGCCGGTCTTGGGTAATGCAACTCCTGCGCATGAGCATGGAGGTTAATTCATTCTGTCACCTGGCATTCTGTTCATTCACACAAAAATTGCTGTCAGCCCTGCCCAGTATTTTTGTAAACTATTCACACCCCTTCCCACTCGCCCATCTCCATGACCTAAAGTTTAATCATTTTGTAGTCCCAATATAAGAACTATGAGGGCTGATTTACTGTCCATGAGACGATACCAGAAGTGTACACAGGACAGCTCTGGTCATCAGGCTTTTTTGCACTTATTGAATTGGATATCACAAAGCTTTTAATTATACATCTAACTGACCAGAAGGGAGTATATAGGAATAGTTCATTGTGTAGGATTTGCATACACTTTAAAGTGACCGCTAGCACTTGGATCTGTTTTCAGATTCTCTAAGTGGAACTCTTGCTGTCTGAAAAGCTTTGGGAATGCTTTGTAATAGTTTTCTGTACACATTGCTCTCTTATAAGCTGAAGTCCGTGTGTACAAGGCCAGAAGGAGAAGTGGGTTTTGCAAGCAGTAAATTGTGCTGAGTTTGCATTCCGTGAACCTGTTGGCCTTAACAGCCCAGCTAATATGTGTGCATTCTGCCTTGTAGGCCCCGTATAGTAGAATGTATATACACCAGTCCAGCCCCATTGGTATGGAAGAAAGCCCTTACTGGGAGAGTGAGGAGGAGTGTGTACATGTAAATATGGACAGTATAATGAGCTGATTTTCTGGACTGAAAGCTGTCCATTGATGATTGACATGTTGGTCTTTTTTCAGCACCAGGGCGGCCAGCCCCCTCACCTAGGTAGCGCTCAGCCCCAGCAGAATCTCTATCACACAGGAACCCTGACAGCGAACCCTCAGTCTCTGACCCCCGGACCCACTGCCCAGTCTCCGCAAAACAGCTACACCCAGCAGGCCGTGTATGCAATTCACGCCCATCAACAGCTTCAGCATACCTACGCCAACATGTCTCATGTGGCCCAGGTAAGCCCTTCCCGTCACAAGACCCGTCACCAGACAATTCTGTGTTGGCTTTGGAAATGAAATCTCAACCTTTGTTTTGTCTTCTAGGCTCATGTACAGTCTGGATTAACTGGAGCCCCCCCTCACCCTGGAGCCCCTCATCCACAACACCCTGGAGGCCCTCATCCTACACAGGTCATGCTCCTACACCCCTCACAGACACACGGTCCTCCCCAACAGGGTGGCGTCCAACAGACCGGTGTGTCTTCACCTTCTCCATACACCTATATATCACATCATCAAGGTGAGTGTCATTTCTGCGACGTAATGCGTGCTTTGGGTCTTGTTATGGAGTGATTACTTCTTTACGTAATAAACTATTGTGCACTTTATAATAGAAGCCACATCAGGCATTGGAAAATATTAGGCCTAGTACAGATGTGTGCTGTTTTGCCCACCAAAGGAGGTTTGTAATTCTGTTCAGGCAGTCTTGTGCTTAAGATGTAAAAGATGTCACCAGCACACCGAAGATCTTTTGCAATCACCAAATGCTCATTTTATTGAACAAGGTGTCCGAATGGAATTCAATCTGACAACTTGTTCAGTAAAATGAGCATTTGATGATTGCAAAAGGATCTTCGGTGTGCTGGTGACATCTTTCACATTTATCTTATGCATCCAGCGGTGCCATCCGAGCACCCTTCCCATTACATGGGATCTCCGTAAGGAGTGCGGCAAGCAAGAACCTTTCTACTTATCCTGAGTCTTGTGCTTTACACATATCTGCCACTCTGCACAGATAAGCGTCGCATTGCTTCTGACAACTTTCAATAGACCGCACTGAGGCTGAACTAGAAAGCTATTCCTTGTGTCTAGTGTAGCAGTTGTGTATGTGACCGTACAGAATCAGAACTCCTTTGGCAGGTCAGACAGTTCTCATTTATTTGTCCAAACCTGCTTATGTGTACACAGGGAAGCCCCAAACGTGGATCTGTACTCCTTAACCCCTTTCCTCTGGCTCCTGGTGCCCTTTTAAGTAGATCTTCATACCGGAGGTGCCTACTGATCATGTGATTAGCGGTCAGTGATCACATGATCGGGAGCCTGTCCTACTTGCTCCTACTGTAAATGCTGAGCGGGAGTTATCGGTCACAGTGCCAGGGGAGAATGAATGAATGAGCGAGCGCATGGAAAAAACGGCAACGCTGGCCATATGGTTATGAGGAATGCGCGAGGCTGGCGGTAAGATGGTCTCTTGAAAAGACAACCTCGCACCCGCATATACTTCGTGGCCCTCTCTGCTCCAATAGTTTGCAGCCCTTGGGAAATAACTGGTTCCTTTAAAGTATAAGGGAGCATGTGACCTTCTTCCCAGAATGCATTGCTCTTACCTGAGCAGCCAATTGCCTGAACAGCGCTGGGTAAAAGACGGGAGCATATCCTGTAATCTGTTCAGAGCTCCTCAAACCTGAGCTTACCCTGGGTTGGGACTCCTTTCCCTATGGTGGAATATTGGAGGCAGTGATGGGAGTTGAGTCTAAGTGGGTGGAGGGGGGTTCTTTTTAGAGTGAATCTCTTGAGGATTCCAGAAGGTGCACACCCAAGTTTGAGGACTCCCAATGTAATGCTGCCCCAGCAATGTTTTATGCTCGTCTTCCCATGTAACAGTCTTGGTGGCCCATTGGGGGGGCGGGGGGGGTCTGTGTAAAATCTTTGGGGGGGTTTTATTCTAACATTTGTCTGTCTTGTTTTTCAGTTCAGTCCCATCCGTCCCAGCAGCTCCCGTACCACCCTCCCGGCAATTGAACTTATCCCAGAGCGCTGTGATTCCAACCTCCACACAGTCATAACCCGCAGCCAGTCCTGCCTCTGGCCTTTCCCCTGTCCACACCGTCCAGGAAAACTGGCTGAGGCAGAATCCGGGGACCCCGGCCAGGCCCCACGCAGACTTCCTGAGCCAATGGATCCGAGGGCTTCCACGGGCGCAGCGTCATGGGGCCTTTTCACTCACGCCCTGCCAGGGTTATCCGAGACACAAGGGAGCCGAGCAGCAACATGGAGGACTCTCTTGGGGGTGGAGCTTACAGCTGGAGGCAGGGTGTCCCCTTACCGGCACCACAAAGGAGAATGTGTGTTTTTAGGTTTTTCTTCTTCCGTTTTTTTTTTTTGGTCAGCTCTACAGAGGAGGAACTAACCCCCCTCCCTCTGAGACTGGAACAGAAGCCGAGATTTTATTTTTTATTTATAACTAGATTTGGGCAGTTTTCAAGGCAGAGTCCACTTTCATCTCCCACCCCCCCTTCTTCCATTTCCCTTTCCTCCTTTAACTTGAACGGAGTGATGGACTACTTTTACTTTTTATTGAATAAACTATTTAAAAAAAAAATGAAAAAAACTTGGAAAAAAAACTAAAAAAGCCAAAAACAAAAAATAAAGTTTTAAACTAAAGCTAATCCAGTGGAATCGTTTCATTTGGAGAAAAGACAACCGGGCTTTATTGTCCAGCATGAGCCATCTTGAATCCTCGGGGGGACGACCTTGTAATCTTCACTGTGACCCTGTGATTGTCAATGTTACTGATTCCTGTGTTTTTGTGTAGCGTCTCATGTAGGTTCACATGTACTACAACCACCAAGGGACTCTGTAGGATCGAAATGTAGTTATTTCAGAACTTCAAAAGCCACCTTTTGAACCTGTCAGGGATATTCCCCGTCCACTCTCATTCACAAGGTTATGTTCCCTGTGATCATGTCTGGGAGGTGTGCCTCTCGGCTAGCTGCCCTGTCTGGGAAACAGCCATTTTTGTCCTTACACAAGGACAATGTTGATGGGAATTTATCCAAACTGGAGCAGCTGTGCACGGCAACCAATCAGCTTCTCTTTCATTTTCAAATCTTAATGGAACAAGCTGAAGAAAGAAGCTGATTGGTTGCCATGCACAGCTGCTCCAGATTTTGTCTGCTCCAGTTTGGATAAATTCCCCCCATTGTGTTGAAGCTCAGAGCATCCTTCCTGCCTCATGTTTCACACGACTAAGGTGGGATTCACACCTTTTTTGTTTTTGTCTATGTTTTCCATTGAAACCAGGACTGGACGAATATCCCAGGGGCCAAGTAGCCAATGCTCCTTAAAAATGAGAGTTGGCACCTAACTTCTGAGGCTTTCTCTAGTGTTCAAGACACTTAGCGCCTAAAAAAAAAAATCCTTCTGGCTCCTGAATTCCATATTAGAATGACACTAAACTCAGGAATTATACAAATTTAAGTATGTATGTTATTTGTCTATCGGCTGTAGATCCTCCAATCATCTCTGCATTGGTGCCGACACTGTCTTTCCTTCTGGATGGTGACTACTTTTGTTCCCCATGGTCCCTGTGTGTTGTAAAGTAGTCACCGCTCCAAGCTCGCTCCCGGGATGGACTACAATCTCATGTTTAGTTTGTAATTTGTATTGAGATTGTAGTCCATCCCGGGCGTGAGCTTGGAGTGGTGACTACTTTACAACACACACAGGGACCATGGGGAACAACAGTAGTCACCCTCCAGAAGGAAGAACAGTGTCAGCAGCAATTCAGAGATGATTGTAGGATCTACAGCAAGTGATACACAAATAAGATCCATTTGTGTTCAAGGTATCGGAATGTTTTTTTATAATTCCTGAGTTTAGTTTCACTTTAATATGGAATCCGGAAGGATTTTTTTTTTTTTTTAGGCGCCAAATGTCTTGAACAGTAGAGAAATCCTCAGAAGTTAGGTGCCAGTACCAATTCAGAGATGATTGGAGGATCTGCAGCCGAGTGATACTCAAATAAGATACATTGTTGTTCATAGTTAAGGGACTTGAATGTATTTTTAGGGTTTAACTCCTCAGTTTGCGGTCACTTCAATTTGCCCATCTCTGGTTTAAACTCTTAAGCATTGATGTGCAATATAACGTGCACTGCAACACACTTCAATGCATCTCTGTTCACCTGCGATGGAAAATGAATCAGACAAAAAAAAATAAAAATGTAATCTAGATTAAAACGAAAACATTTTTGCAACTCTTCACACCACATCCAGATTACCTCCAGACCCCAATACATCCCTATGCTATTTGTGGCCTCCGTTCTCACCAACGCAGTCCGTTCCCGAGCAGAAAATACTGCTTGTCCTATTTTGTCTGGTATGCATCAAAAACGCATGGAACGCACCTGTAAGTCCATTTTAAGCTAAAAAAAAAAAAATTCAGTCGTGGCAAAAAACACAATGCCTTGTGTTCCAGATCTGGTCCGGAAAATGGTGTGAACCCAGCCTTACCCCACTGCTAAAAAAATAAACCCTTTCTGCCTAATATTGGCCATCTCCCTAATGTGATCATTTAATGCAGGGGGTCTCAAACCTCCGGCCCTCCAGCTGTGGTGGAACTAAAAATCCCATGAGGCATTGCAAGATTCTCACAGCCACCGATATGACTCCCGCAGAGAGATGCATCATGGGATTTGTAGTTTCACCACAACTGGAGGGCTGGAGGTTTGAGACCCCTGATTTAATGCAATTCAACAGATTGAACCAAATCACGGAGCCAAATATGTGCGTGTTGCCGAACTGATCATGACTCAAATGAATAGAACATTTTAGTATGCTGGATTCAGTGGCGTAACAATCGCCATAGCGACCCATGGGGCCCGGCCTGTGCATCCCTCTGATGCCGTGTGGGTCGCTATGGCATGTAAGGGTGCTGGCTGTCACTGACCGCGTTTCCCCCTCACAGCCGCTGCTGAGCTGTGTCAGTGACAGCCAGCAGCTACGGCAGAAGAGGCCAGCGTTTGCCGTGAAGGAGGAGGCGGGGCCCGCCTAAGAGCAACCCCACCTCCTTACATCACTGGCCATCGACGTAAGAGGAGGGGCCTGGTGACCACAGAGGCCGACATTGCTGACGGGTAAGAGTTGTGCAGCCCATCTAAGACCCTGCAGAGCTCACTCTAGAGAAAGTCTATGCAGGGTCACTCTCAGGTGGGCTGTTTGGGATATCAGGTGCGCTCTGCAAGGGGCATAACTAGCAATCACGGGGCCCCGTGATTCCTAGTTACGCCCCTGGCTGGATTTATGATTCACATTTTCTGTTAATCACAGTGTGCACCAGTACCGTCTGCATTGTTTGTGTTGCGGTTGTTACATGTATAACCACCGTAATGGAGTGGAACAAGTCCCAACTGCCCCACCGTCCATGTTAGGGTGCCCACACACCTTACGATTATCGTACGATAATCGCGGGAAATCCCGCGATCGTACGATGTTCGTAAGGTGTGTGGAAGCCGTGCGACCTCTACTACTGTAAGGTCGCACGACTTTAAACTTACGGACATGTTTGAAAACCCGCCGAGCATCGTACGATGTTCGGCGGGTTTGTGGCATGTCCGTACGATAACAGCCGCACGGGCCGGTGTGCGCAAGCGCACACTGCCCGTTCGGCATTGCGGTCATCGGAAGCCCACCCCTCAGGGGGCGTGGCTTGCGATCATCGCAAGTACGATCTGACTATGCAACATAGGCAGATCGTACGTTTTTTTAAGTACCTTACAACCAACGCAAGACAAAAGTCTTGCGATGGTTGTAAGGTGTGTGCCCAGCCTTAGCAAGGCCAAGGATATCCTCCTCCTGTTGCGTGGGACGGGGATGCTGGACATTCTCTTGGGCGGGAGAGATGGTGGTAGTCTTCCTGGGTGAGGAAGAGGCGGGGGAGGGCATTTTCCCGGTTGGCCAGAGACAAAGAGCTTTCCTTTTGGGTGGGACCCAGATGGAGGACATTATTCTGGGTTGACACAGAGCATTCTCCTGCGTAGTACACAGACTGGGTGGATAGGGACAGAGGGCATTCTCCTGGTAGGGACCGTGGATGTCCTAGGTTGGATGGAAACAGGATCTTCTGGGTGGGGACTGAGATAAAGGGTCTCCTCCTGAGTGGGATGGAGACAGAGGACATTCCTCCTTGGGAGAGACACGGGACGTTCTTCTGGGTGGGACACAGAGGGTGTCCTCCTGAGTAAGATGGAGACGGAGGACATGCCTCCTGGGTGGGGATACAGACAAAGGGTGTCCTGAGTGGGACATTCTTCTGATGGGACTGAGGCAAAGGGTGTCCTGGTGGGATGTAGACAAATGTTCCGAGTAGGGCTGCAACAACTAATCGATTATTGAAAAAGTTGTAAACTTTTTCAATCATCGATTAATCGGCTTCCGATTGGTTGCCCCTGTTCACGGCTCCACACACGCTGCGCGACACACCTCAGACCCGCCCGCATCCATGCTCCACACACCACACCTCCTCCCTGCCTCACGCTCACTGCCCGGCCAAATCCACGGTCGGCACAGGGACGCAGGGAGAAGAAGTAAGGAGGAGCAGGTGTGGGCGGATGACAGCCGCCGATAGACCCGATCTCAAACGTTGCTGGAAGACTGCTTAGGTAAGCCTGCACTTTCCCCACATGGTGCTCTATAATGTATTGCTGGGATAGTGGGATTTGTAGTCCTCTATAGCAGATGGTACATTGTGCTCTATATTATACAGACCAATGTACCATCAGCTATAGAGGACTACAAATCCCAGCAATACATTATGCACTGTAGGTATAATGTATTGCTGGGATTTGTTGTATTCCTATATAGCTGGTGGTATTCTGCATTGCGCTGTATAGAGGACTACAAAACCCAACAATAGTACATTATAGAGCGCAATGCGGAATTCCACCAGCTATAATGTACTATTGCTGGGATTTGCTGTATTCCTCTATAGCTGGCGGTATTCTGCATTGCGCTGTATATTGTACTATTGCTGGGTTTTGTAGTCCTCTATAGCCGGTGCCATTCTGCATTCATTGCTGTATAATTTTACACTTTCCCTTTCACTATATTGCACACCACACTTTTTTTTTTTCTTTTTTACTTCCACCTCTCCAAGCTTGCTCCTGTGATGGACTGCAATCTCAATACAAACTAGTAGTCCATCACCGGAGCCATTTTTTTAAAATGTATTTTATTTTCTAACCGATTAATTGAACTTAATAATCGGCTAACTAATCGATTTTGAAAATCGTTAGCTGCAGCTCTAGTTCTGAGTAGGACAGAGAAATAGAATGACCTCCTGGGTAAGATGCAGAGGAATTCTGTGTCACCCTCCTTGGGTGAGATATAGACAATGGATGCCCTCCTAGGTGGGATGGAGGCACAGGACGTCTTCCTTGGATGGACCGAGACAGAGGATGTTCTCCTGAGTGGTATGTTGACAGAATGTTCTCGTAGGTGGGAACACAGACAAAGGAACTCTTCCTAGGTGGGACAGATACATGGGAAATCCTCTGGGGTGGAGTAAAGACAAGGCATCCCCAGGGAGGGGGTAGACCGAGAGGAGGTCCTTATGGCTGGGACATGTAGAGAATGTCCTTTTAGGTAGGACAGATACATGGGACA